CAAATATGGTAATCACTATATGGAGGCGCTTACTTCCTCAACCACTTCCAAACCAGTCCATGAAACGCTCTGCCATAATTATTTCCCTTCCTCCTAGGACTTGAAATTTCTTTGGATGATAATGTGTACCGACGACTTTGGCATTGCACTTTCCAGTTACTCATGGAACAGCTACAATTCTTCGTCGCCCACTTGTTATGCTAGCTATAAACATCGATTTTCATTGGAGATCAACTTTTGCCCATCATCAGAAGTAGCTAGACGATAAAAAATGATTATAAGGTCGCAGCTGACTAAAAACGATGCAGGGATTTTTTGCGATAAATCTTACCCGCCTGTTTGAGGCCGATTTTCGTACACTTCCCGAGGAATATTTGATCCTCGACGAATTCGATGGATCTTCGGGTTTCGTACACGTCGAGAGCACCTGCTTTCATATCCTTTCCTCGACAAGCGTCCCTGAAGACACAGATCTGGTGTCTTTACACCGTTGGCCATTCGCACCCTGAACATCTATGAGTCAAACGTGATACTAGTTTTTGGCACGCTGAAACGATAGTCTGCACCTACAACCCCGGGCATTCTTTTGTGGATTTTTGGTGAGTCTCAGAGTCCAACCTTCGTGAGCTATAGCCTTCACCATTCCCTTTCTTCAACCAGCCCGTCAAGATCCAGAAGGGAGTCATTCGATAAGTTGTTGCTCGCAAGAGGGTTCAAGAACCAGTTCAGTGTGTTGCTTCACCGTCTTCCCACCGGAAATGACCTTACGAGGCATGCCTACACGGCTCACCATGTAGAAGGCTTAGAAGTCTAATGACTTTAAAGCAAATAGCGATATTGTTCAGAGTTTTGGGATGATCATCACTTTTATCAGATTTTTTGCATCCATTTTGGATAAAGGCCTCTCAAATACTTTACCATGGAATTTTGTTTTCTGCAATTTTCTCAGTTTGGATATGATGAAATTCTTCATCTCCTCCTTCTGTTGAATCTAAAATTTTCCTACGGGCCATATACGTTTTGTCTTGAAATTAAGTCTAATGTTTCTTTGACCAAGAGATGTTGGGTTCAGTTACCTCACGCATGCACTGACATCGTAGTCTCTTGTTTGTACTCCCTCCTACCCAATCATCCATCTTTAAATGCTTTCTTCTTATGCTCAATACATACCTCTACGCGCAGCATTGAACAGTCTGCCAATTATGAATAGCTTCGAGATTTAGGATTCATGTTTCACCAGGCTAGCAGTGGAGCACATACTGTTCGAAAGCTTTTCGTTTCAAACACAGCGGCAAATTCTTCCATAGGAACAGTTCCAGCCTTCGAAACTTGCTACATGTAATTTTACTACTCTAATGATTTTGCAGTCACTTCCTCGTTGTAAAACTGAGCTATTTCAGTACTGAGATAGAAATCGATTGATTTCTTCAAGTTGCGGGGTCACATATTTTTTAAACATGGCTTGAGTCGTTTTCAGGTTAATGTTTAGTTTTCGCCTGATGCTATCGTTCAGTTCTTGGATTCTTCTGATAGACCTGGATAGGGTCGGAGTATCGTCTACAAACCGCAGGTAGCTTAAGTATTGTCCATTTATGTTTTATGATTACCTGCTGATTCCGCAGTGAAGTGTAATGACAGCATCCTCTAGTGCTGTTGTGAATAACTTCAGCAATATTGCATCACCCTGTTGAATACCATTTCAAATTCTGAAACTTGTTTCTGGTTTTATGAAGTTCTGCAGTTTGTAAATCGTGGTGATGAGGCCTATGTATTTTCTCTCTGTTCCCTCTGACCTCAACGAATCCAGTGCAGACTTACTGTAGACTGAGTTGAAAGCCTTTTTGAAATCGACAGACCACATGTACTGAGTAAGCTGATATTTGGTTTCTCTGATAAATGACTTGCTGTGCCTCTGAGGCTGATCAGTGGTATTAAATCCACTTCTGCATCCTACCTGTTTTTCGGCTGTATAGCGTCCAGTCTTTCTCAGAGTATGTCTACAGCAAAGTATTTTCATAAAGTACTTTCAAGGGATTGGCTTGTATTCTTCAGACAGTTCCTTAAACCAATTCTCTTCTGTGAGAAATGTACATGTTAAACTAAGCAATTCTGCATTTATTAAGTCATTGAGTTCAAATTTTTCACGTTTTAACAAAGCCAGTGCAAAATTACCCAAATTATAATAACAGAAAATCACCGACAAATATACTGGAAATGCTTGAACAAATATATCTGTATTTGATCGATGTCTGTATCTCGCGTTGTATGACATACCATCCGGATTTTGCATTCAAATTTGTCTTGTGTACTTCTGTTATTGAATACTGCAATCTGCTGATCTATAAATCAATTAAAGAGTGATAAAATTGAATAACAGTAGAGTTAAGAAAAACTTAATAAGTTTGATGTCCTTGATTCTGGGTCAGTCGTTCGAACTACGAAGATACGCCAGCGATTTTTAAAATATTGACAATAGACGAGGCGATATTTTCGTAAGTAGTTTCAATGCAAATCTCTGTTCGTTACACATGTAGACCGGGACGTGAAACGAGACGAGAAGTTTTACGAGTGTTGCCCTCAGCCGTACCCAACTTTGGAGTTTTACGTGCACATAAAGAGGAAGACGCTTTACTACGGATTCAACATAATCATTCCAACGACGATCATCCTCATTTTGATGGTGATTGCTTTCATACTACCACCGGAGGAGGGTGAAAAGATGTCACTGTGTAAGTAGCGAATGAACAGTCGTAAATATTCGACCTGTCACTAGAATTTAAGCGTTTAGCGATGACTGACCTTCTGTCCATTTCTTTCTTGTTTGGCATATTGAACGAAACCGTGCCTCCTATGCCAGACAACTTGCCGATCCTCGGTGTGTTCTACTCTTTGTGTCAGGCGATTCTGTGTATGTCCGTCATGTTCAACGTATTCGTGCTGAACATCTACCGTCGTAATCCAAAAATGCAGCGGATGCCCAAAGTGGTATGAAGCGGATAGTTTCCCTCGTCACTGGATCTTATCCATTTCGATTGATTTGCAGGTGAGGCTACTGCTGCTGACGTGGATCCCATGGGCTCTGATAATGGAACGACCGAAGTATGCATTCTGTATACGGAGGTGTGGTAAAAGGCATGTTTTTCCATCTGTCCTCACACGAATAGTACAAAAGTGTGTGAGCAACGACGGAGCCTACTTACAAGAAAAAACGAACCTGGTCACAAAACAACTCCTGTCGACAGACAGAAACCAAATCAATCTCATAGAGCCGATTTCCAAGGATATTTTGATGGACAAGCTGAAGATCATTTTACTGAACTTGTCGTTCCTAAATAAATTAATTACTGACTCTGAAGAAGTGAACGAAGCGCTCAGCGACTGGTTCTTTGCTGCAAGAGCGATGGACAGATTGTGCTTAGCTATCTTTATAGTGAATATATTGGTATCGATGTACGTGCTGACCAGCAGTACGTTTTACATTTGAGATTTCTTTCATGCATGGCGTTTGGTACGTAAAAGACTGGTATAAGTATATGGCTTGCGCTATGTCTAAAGGCTTTCTGTTTTGATGTGCTTCGTTCTGTAGTTGTGGCAACGAGTAAGGGCTAATATTTCATTGACGTACATCGACGATGTGTAGAAAGCGGTTCCGTAACGAAAGCGAGGTTCTCAAATACACGTAATAAAAGTTCTATTGCCAAAATATAGTGTATTTAATAGTGATTCGTCATGTAAACTCGCCAATGATCGTCGAGGATTCGAAGGTTCCTTCCTGAAGGAGACACCAGTTGACCAATACGGCTTCATACACAAAAGAATACTTGTCTAATCCCAGCCAATTAGGTGTTAGGCATAGGCGTGAAATTCCTGATCAGCAGCCATGAGCGAATCAGATTATTTACTCAATTTCAATTAATTCGTTATCGATAAGCAGCGCTTGAAAGACGATGGGGGGGGGGGGGG